ACCCGGACCGAGAAGGAGAACTTCCGCACATCCAGCCGTGCCTGCTGAGTGCGCAGTTTTAACGGGTGACCTCGGAGGTTGGTCGTGGTAGCAAATTCATAAAAGTCCTCGAAGGCAAGACTGCAATCCAACCCCTTTACAATGCGGAAGGCTTGCAAGAGATCTCCGCGAAGTTGCCTGTAACTCAAAGGAAAGAGGTTCAGATTTACTAGGCGGGTCGCATAAGGAAAGGAGCTTTGACCCCTAACCATCTTCGTGGCTCTCCTCTGCACTCTTTCGAGGCAGTTTTGATCCACAACACCCCACGGCCTCCAAGCTTGTATGCCGTACTCTAAATGCGGCCGGACGAATGTTCCGAATGTCTTAGAGAAAGCTTCTTCGTCAAAGTCCATAAACGCACGCTTGATGGCGTACAGTACGGACTTTGCGCTTTTTGCCACCCTCGAACAGTGGGTGGATGGCTTTAGGGAACTCGTTGTAAGCACAACGAGGTCCTTTTGGGCTTCGACCTCTTGTAGGGCTGCACCGCCCACAAAGTAGCCTCTTGTGCTGGCGGATCTGGCTGTGTTGCCTAGGCGAAGTATGCTACATTTGGCAACGTTGAACCGCAGGAGCCAACGGTTTGACCACTCCTCCAACCGATTCAGGTTCATCTGCAGTCTGTCTTCATCGACAGGACCACGAATTACACTCCATATCTTCATGTCATCCGCAAACATTGCTACTTCACACTCTAAATCTCTTGCGGCATCGTCCACGTAGATAAGGAACAAAATGGGTCCCAGAACTGAACCCTGGGGGACACCACTATCGACCATAACGGGATCTGATTTTTCCCGACCGACGCACACAACCTGGTGTCGACCCACAAGGAAGTTTTCGATCCATTTATGGAAGTTGCCACCGATCCCTATTTTTTCAGCTTATGTAAGAGCCTTTGGTGTGGCACAGTGTCGAAAGCCTTCTGGAATTCGATGAAGGCTATGTGGACCGCGTGCCTGTCGTCGAGAGCTCGGGTCCAGCTCTGGAGAGATTGCAGCAGGTTTGTCGTGCAGGATCTTCCTTTTCGGAACCCATGTTGGCATTTCGATAGCAGGCCGTGAACTTCCAGGAATTGCATCAGTTCAGTCTTTATGATCCTTTCCATAACTTTGCAGAGAATGCATGTCAAGCTTATGGGCCGGTAATTTGTCGTCGCTGCCCTGTTACCTCCTTTGTGTAGTGGAGTAATATGCGCCAGCTTCCAATCGACAAGAAGTGTTCCGGTGTCAAATGACGTTTGAAAGACCATCGACAAAGGCACAGAGAGCTCACTGGCAAGTTCCTTCAGAAGCTTTGATGGGATCTCGTCTGGTCCTGGTGACTTCGATTCGTTCAATGCTTCTAATTCTCTTTGGACAATGCCTTCTGAGAAGAGTATATCACTGACGCTTGGAGTCGGAAATTCTTCTGTGGAGGGAGGAAGGAACCTTGCCTCGTTTGTGTAGACTGATTGGAAAAACCGTGAAAAATACGCAGCTTTATCCCTACTATCAGCGATCTCATCGCCATCAGTAGTCTTTATCAAAGGGATTTGATGCCTGTTCCTTGTAGTTCGTCGGAGGTAGCTGTAGAGCAATTTTGGGTTCTGCGTTGCTTTTTGTAGCAAGTTCTTCTCGAAGTCCCGCCGCGTCTGCATTATCAGCTTCCTCAGTTTGTTCATCTGTGTCTTGTAGGTGTTGAAGGATTCAGCTTGTCTAGTGACGCGGTATTTTCTCCACCTGCTATGTCTTCAGTCACGATTTTAGCACCCAGAGACGGTGGGGAGGCCGCAAGCTTTCGCCGTTTAGCACGTGCTCTGCGGGGCATTACAGACAGGAAAAGTTTTTCGTTACAGAAGAAGGGTCAACACGTCAACGTACGGAAAATCACACTTAATAGCAAGGGCTACTGTTATTAAACTACGAAAACTAGAAAGACATAGAAGGGAAAGGGGTCACTACAAAGGTTTTTTTACAAAATACGACTATTTTGACAGACTGTCAAATAAAACTAGGAAAATTATATCTTGTATTGAAAGGCGACTTTTAAAAGGGGCTCAAGTAAAAAACAGGCATTAGTGGCTTAAGAATATCCAGATAAATGCAAAGCTTCACTTATCTTTGAAATTGAGCTGCGCGCCTTCACCTTGACCTTGTTGAGGCAAAGGGGAATTATTAGGAGTGACGACGTAGAAAATCGGATGTTATTCTGACATGTGATGTACGCGAACATGAGGGGTTACATTGATGGCTGCCGGAGGCTGGAATACACAAATAAATGCGGCCGGTGATATTAGGACAGCGAACTTTTAGTCTCTGAAGTGGGTTGCGCAATGTGTCGCCTTAGTTCTCATGTACATTTTATTCAGTTAGTTCATTGATTCCCCGTTTGAGCAATAGCGGTCAACAGCAGCGCGTTGCAGAACAAAATAAGAAAGTGGTAATGCCGTAAATCTACGGTCTAGGTTGGCTGCATCCACGGTAACATCGAGCAATAACTCTGTTTCAACGGACGACGTAGAAGCACGACTGAAGGATTGCCTACGCAGACCCCATGCAGGAGGATTCATAAGCGATCGCGAACACAAAAACCTCCGCCCAGTAGGCACACACATCCCTTAGTTGAATGGTCTACCGGAAATCCGATCGTTGACATGCGTAACTCTCCTTATCATGCGATAACGAGGTGGGTAGAAGAGAAACTCACACGTCTACAGTATTAATTAGCACCACGTAACTATCGGCATACCTTCGAATTCATTGAAGACGTTAAAGGTTTAAACCTAAACGGTATGGTGATGTCTTCAACTAAGGTCGCATCATTCTTCACCAACGTTTCAGCCACAGAGACAATCGAGTACATATGTGAATTCCTGTCAACTAACCGCCAAGTAATAATTATTCCGACTAACGCCCTCAAGGAATTATTACTAAAATGGCCACAAAATGTACAATTCCTTTCTGACAACCAACTATGTAGGCAAATGGACGTAGTTGCTGCGAGATCGCCCCTTGATCCTCTCCTAGCCAACGTCTTCATGAGCAAGCTGAAGAACTTTCAGTTAAACGATTAAATCAATAAGTTAAGGCACTAAGGTCGCTATGTTGATGACATCTTTACAATTTCCACCACGGAAACCAACGTAACCGCCCTTTTGGGTGTTGTAAATAAAGCAAACTCGTCGATCAGGCAGGCTCCCTGCATTTCTTAAACGTCCCTCTAAGCAGAAGAGCTGACTACAGCATTAAAAGAGGCGTCTATCGAAAGAACACCTGATCTAGGCAATAACCGAACTTCTACGATTTCGTACTCCTTCAACGAAAACGTAATCTAGTCCGTTGTCTGATGCAAAGAACTAGAAAACTCTGTTCGGAGGAGAGCGCTGACGAGGAAATTAAAAGAATCCAGGACCTTCTTCGCGAGAACGGATATCCCAACAGATTTACTAAAAGGAATCTTGCCGAACGACCGACAAAACTCATCTTACTGGCGGCGAAGAAGAAAAATCTGTTCCACAGAATCCCCTTCCAAGGAGACGCGGTGAGTGGAGGCGCCTTGACCAAGCCGTTTCGTAGATCTTCTTGTCAGCAAGAGTTCAAGTACTGTTTTCGTCCCACCCCCTCCTACTCGTGAAAGGTAAGGGTAGGCTGCCAGCTCAGACCACCTCCTTGTGCATTTACTCCTCTACCTGCTCCTGTGGAGTAGGCTACATGGATCATATGAGTCAGCCCCTATCCACAAGAATACGAGAACACCTGCCGGCATGGCTAAGGAAAGGTAGTGTTAAAAGCATACACAGCTCCATCATCGCACACATGGTTCATTCTGGGCACCGCGTGGATCCCAACGAAACTTTCCGTGTGATTTACAATGTCCCACCTAACTATCATAAGCGACTGGATCAGCGCATACTAGCAACAGCAGAAGTGACTGTCATCAGGCTTCAGAGACCGGTCTTATTCGCGCAGAAGAGCCTCCCGCACGCCCCGCGTCTACCGTGGGTCAGGATCGATTAACTGTATGCTTGACTCCTCGACCCTGTCACCCCTCCCCCATCGTGCCACGTCTCCGTCTAACCCTCACTGTCACTTTCTGCCTCCTCTCCACACCTACCTCCCTCTATTCATATACCTCGTTTGTATGAAAAGACGAATCGTAATCGACTGCCCTTATAGCTCACACGTTTCAGTTTGTACCTCGTTCACCCATAAATACACAGGTCAATGAGAATTTATCGAAAGCACGCGTATGCGCGCCAAATGCTCTTCTGTGTTGTATATGTCAGAGTCTTAATATTATGTATTTTTTTCTGGCATTAACCGCATATTTAACCACCATTTTAAAAATTTCCGCTGAATGATCCAATGCGCAAGCTGCGCCCTTGTCCACATGTATCTTAAAAGGAAAAATCATGATATTAAAGTAGTCCATGATTACGGGATATATACTCTGACCATTCTGGCTGAACTGACCACTGAATGCCTGCAAGGACATAAATTTCTCATAACCTAACAGAGTCAGTTGCGCACAAAGTCCAAAAGTGGATTAAGAAGACTAATATAGGGGGAAATTTTTCCTCCCAACGACGTTAATCACAAGTGCACCACGAAGACGATCACAAGTTTTCCGGGAGTGTAAATTAAAAGAAGGCAGCAATAAATATACGGACGATGAAATTCAAAAAGGTTGCGTGGTAAACTGAAAGCCGAGTCCGTTTTCTGCCTTGCGCACTTCAATTAATTTTTAATGCATGTGCGCAACATTCTCGTTATCGGGAATAAAAATGACGTCTCTGTCCCGTATTTCTGCCGTTCTAACTTAGTTTCGAGCTTCTGCTTTTTCCATGTTTGCCCTTTTTGTACATGCTTCCAGGTTAACTCTAGAAATGCACTCTGCTTTATCTGTACTCCAGCCTGCTTCATGAAGTGCGCTAGAACCACCGGCGCGCGCTTTGACTACGGCCAGGGAAGACCGGAATCATGTCTTTTCTGAGAGGCGGGCCGTTCTTTTGTAGGCTGATGTTCTTATACTTATTTAATTTTATCCATAGCGAAAACATTGCGTAACGTTTGCTTTGTCAAGGATGCAGTCTTTGTCAGGTCAGCGAAAACCGCCGCCGCGGCAGAATCAGCGCGTGACAAGAACATGGCCATCGTAGACAAGTCAGTCCAAGACGCGGAGGATCTTGCTGCTCGATACAACAAAGTGAGATTCAGTTAGATTTTTCACTTTTATGGGCAGTGAACAGTCGATTTCGGAACAGTATCCTCTTCGTGCCCCTACTTTGTAATTCTGCACTTGCAGATGAGCAAAGCCTAAACCAAGTTTCTTAAGTTCACTTAGTTTTGCTACGAGGATACACGCTTTAGACTACGGAGATTCGGTCAAAATCTCCAACATTTTACTAAGCCGATGAGAGAATTATGCCGACTAATTTCATGGTTGCGCAATCGATACGGCGTCTTGATAGCTAAGCAGTTTTCAGACCACCTCCTGAGCTGATTAGCCGCATACCTGCGCCCCTATACGCGTCTTTAGGCCACAATTCTTGTCGTCAGGATGCGTGTACGGAACATGTGAGTACACTTGCATATCAATCGACTCCTGTAAGAATACAACTTGTCCCATCATCATGCAGAATTCTTGGGTGAAGGGTTATGTTAGGCTAGTAGCATGCTCAATTGTACATTATCCTCCACATCCGCAAGTTACTTCCTTGTGAGCTTTGGTGATCGACGGGAAATGTCAAAAAAGTTTGAAAATTTTGTAGTCCAGGGCGACTTTTCCCCATTGTAACTTGGCTCGGTCTCCCGTTGACGACTAGCAGAATCTGCTGTGTCTGCATCCGTTCCTCACTACCTTGTGTAGTGTAAACGGAGACCGTTCATGAACGTCAGGTCTCCGATCACTAGTCTCTGAGGTGCCGCGTACATAACCTTATAGGACTGTCTAACCACTGCGCAATTTGCGGTCAACGGTTTACATTAGAGGACGAGATTACTCGGCATTCGACGTCCACGGTCCCACTAAACTGCGGTCTCAGGACAACACTCTGGGCTTGGCCGGACCTCTTTCTCCGTTGACTTCGCTGTAGAATACCAGTTTGCTCATGGATGGCGGACCGTAGAATGACCGTCGCCGAAAATTAGCCGCGAATTGGGCCGAAATTTCGAAACCAGAGTGTACTTCAAAAAGTACACGAGGGGCGCTGAGAGGCCCACTGATAAGTCGAAGGCCTCACGTTGCGTCATGCGGTGCAGAAAGTTGGCAAAACACATGTCCAAGTTTTCAGCTGACAACTGTTCTGTTATTACGGTGAGTCATGCATCACTTGTTCACTACATGCCGCATACATTTGGGCAGGAACCCCGTTTCCCTTTACAGTAAAATTGATGGTTTATTCAAAGAGGTAATCCCCACTTTGAAGTCTGCTGCTAAACAAGAAAAATTAATCGTCAGGAGTGCCGATCGGAAATCTTTGGTCTTCTTTACGTTGTTGGGCTGGCGAACTTACTCAGCTCATTCACAGACACTGCCCCTACAGATCGTCATATTATGTGAGTGGAGTGTTGCGATCCGCTCAGTGGACATGTAGCTCGGTGACTGCATCATATATGCAAAATCAAAACTTGCCCTGCCAGATGTTCATTTGGCGACAATCCCGCATGATCAGTAAGGGGACACAGTCCTACTGTATGCCAGATTAACCATTAAAAGGGTGTGCTGACCTGTATTCTGAAAGCTTTGCTCTATTAAGGATATGTTGGACGTGGGCCTGGCAATCTGGGTTTGCGAAATATGGTTATGATGTGGGTGGTAGGAGTTAATAGGGTGGATTGCACTGTAGGGTCAGCAGAGAGGTGCGGACCTAAACAACTCACTTGATCGTAACACGACTTCTTCGTCTACCGCTTTGTCATTCCATCTACAACAACAGCGCCCGAACCTCTTCCAGGAGCTCGCTATTGATTACATTAACCGACTTCTTCGGAAGGAAGAAGCAACTACACATCCGATGCTAGAACGCGAGCACTGTCCTTAAACCTGCAGCACAACCTTACCTCCCGAGCGCTGGAGCAGGGCTATATGACATTACCTGTTTCTCCGAGGTGTGTTATAGCATAGTCTGCACAGCATTAACGTGTCAGTCACCTACAGGTCTTTGTAGTGCCTTTGCTAAAGTCACACTTTTTTGGTTTGCATGTTAGCGCAGGATGCTAACGACATGCGGAAACAGGCCTTTTTGGCGGTGGTCTGGTGTCCCAATGAGTCATCTTGCTGCGGGGAACTGGAATGCCGTTGAGGGCAAGTATGGCGCATCTTTGGCGCGAATCCGTAGCAAGTGTTCACATTATTGTTTCTCGAATGTACGTCGAATGCCCGGCTCTGGCACCACAGGAGGCACCAATCCATCCGCTATTTTAGTACTAGTTGTACGCGTATTTAAATTGATCACGTAAGTAAGTATGCATGTAAGTAGGCTGGTCAGTCCCACGATTCACGTGATGCCGACACCGGCATAGAGTAGGCCTCTGACCATGCTTTTATGCAGACTCATCAACGAAATTCACTGCATATTGCCTACAGGGCACAGTCTGCAACTCAGTATAATATTGATCGTTCCAAGCATTCTCCCGTCGTCACAGGCTTCCATTCGACTGTCTCCAACTGCTCTACAGCAATGGCGCAGGCAAGACCCGCTCCCCACATGTTGTCTCCAAGCTAACTGACTTCAACGGGACCAAGCCCACAGCACCCGTCAGGAGGTGATCGGTCAAAGCAGGCGTCAGTGAGATAGAATTTCTGGCAAAATGACTTGGCTGGCTTTTAACGCAGAGGCTGTTCGCCGTCATTGTTATCTGAACTCAAGCGTCTTGTTTCGTTAGACCATGCTTTATGTATTTCCAGGACCGCAACGAACTCGGGGGTTAAGATTTCGTAGATGTTAAATGCGCATAAGGTACCGGTAATACCGCTAGGCTCTGCTGCATTTTGAAGATGAGCCAGTCCCCTTATCACTCCACCTCAGCAATCAAGGACGACCAATATGCTGTGATAGCCTCACCAGTAAATAGGAAGTTTCAACAAGGACAGCATTTTTCCTGGCTTTTGAACTCGGTAGGTCCAGCTCGAAGACGCCCTGCGGCCCAAGTCTGGGTGTGACCGCCGTTGACGATCTTTGGAATAGACCCTTGTGCTAAGGTAAGAACTGAAGAACAGATTACGACTGCCCTCCGCTCGAAGTCCATGCCTGCTATTCGAGGGTACTAGCCGACCGGTTACACGGATAACTGACTCAAACATTAAAATCAGATATCGCACTCACAGGCTGCGTTGACGTTGCGGTTACGCAGAATTCTCAGAAGGGTGACAGGTTACCTGCGCACCAGCTGCCAGGACGCGTGCCTCCCTGAAATCCCCACTAAGGTGCTCAAAATTGCCCTTTTCAACCGCCTTCTTCTCTGTCGTAATGAGTGGACAAACAGGATCAGAGTGACTTTTAGCCAAGCTGGGGATTTTTTGATCAACACCTCGGCTTGTGAACCTTCGAGCATCGTTACGATTTCCAACAACCCGTTCTGGTCTGTTTCGTAGGTTTTGCCTTTCCGTCGACCCATTCCCTCGGGATCCCCTCCAGTCGGTCATACTATTTGAGGACATACCGTCGATCTTGCTCCAACTTATGGAAGTCTCTTGTCACAGAACAAAAACCGAAGTATGGCAAAGACAGTGGTTTCTTCGAGCTACCCCCAGCGTCCACTTGTTCGTGTTCTGTCACTAGGTTCTTTGACATTAGCCAGCAGATGACGCTGACATACTAGTGTCAGTGCTCTCGAGCTCATTTTTATGAATTCAGTGCGCCTGAGGTGCGTCCGAAAATGAGCTTCCAAATTGATTGCCTCGGGTTTAACGTCGTCATGGTAAGGGGTAAAACTCTTGAGTTACTAAACAGCACCCATTATCTGGGATCAAAATTTTGCCAAGCTGGCAGAATTTTAATGAGATCAGTTATCATCCAGGCGCACGACATTCATTTTGCTGTTACCAGTCTGACGACCAAGCTGAGTGTACCAGACTCCCATCAAGACAGCCCCTCGACCAAGATGTGAGACGTGGCTTGTGTGCTCGACATATGTACACATTTTAAATGTGCTCGGACAATGATGCCTGTGCTCCGCCTCTTAACTTTGTGGTGACAACACTCGCGAGGCCACTTTGCCCGAGTCCGTCCCTGCTTGGCGACGCCGAATTGGGCCTACTTGATGATGGCAAATATCAAGTACATGTGACTATGATCTTCGGCGTGCGGGCTAGGCGGCTCAACTTCGCTCGAGAGTCTGCCGCTGACCGACTTCGACAAAAGCCGATGCTTCATAATCTCCGGCGAACCTGCGGCATGGAGCCGGCCGAATCAGCCATTTGATAATTATTTTTCAAAGTGAATGCTTTGGTGGAAGGTTATGGAGTTTGTTAATTTCAAGGCTATGCTATTCCTTCCAAGCATTTTTTCGATGTACATACTCGTAATTACTGCTGTCACTGTCGCGAGTGTCCTCGACACAGGTATGATAATTATTCAATCAGGAATGGGTGCACACCGATCTATTGGCTTCACGAAGCAAACAAGCTCCGTATGGGAGGCAAGGATTACGAACAGGCCACCAATTATCAGGCCGAGGTCGGCCAAGTCATAATAGCAGCGAGGAGAGACGATAGAGAATGCAAGTAGATTGATACAGTACCGTTTCGGGCTTATTGTGCCTTCATTTAGCCAATCATAACCCTGACCAACAGCTGGGACCACGAACACAAACATGCGCACAGACGCACCTGGCGCAGTTAGTCCATCACTGGGGTCTATCAGATGGGTCATACCCATCTGGTCCCAGTTGTTGGTCAGGGTTATGATTGGCTGACTGAAGGTACAATAAGCTCGAAACAGTACTGTATCAATCTACCCGCATTCACTGTCGTCCCTCCACGCTGCTGTAATAAGTATGCTTACGCAAGTTCACGTTCCTGACAGCGAGCTGTAGTTATCAAAGATTCCATCTTCGTATTGGACTGTCTTACAAGTACGTCGGCCGCGTTCATTTGGCCGTGTCTGTTCATCCCACAGGTCGTAGGTATTGAAGTGTTCCATGGCTTGATTCCCGCTGGTATTGAACTAGCTTACGCCAAGCCAGCTGACAAAGAGGGTTGACTGCCTGGGCTCGGTAGTCGTTCTCTTCTCTCTATCCTGCCACTTACTCATTGATTCCACTTTTGTTTTCAGCATGTCCGAGACGCCATAGTTAGGTGGGAAAAGTGCAACGAGATCTACTACGGCAAAGAAAGAGATATGACTCACTTCCCAACCATAAAGATCCCGCAGCGTCATCCAAAAGTCCGCCTCGGTTTCCTACCCGACTCCTGGTTCCAGGCTCTCTACTCCAGGACTGGTGTCACGGGTAAATAAAATTAGCCTGCCTTTTACTATGTTTGTCAACAGGACCCTACCTCTTCTTGACGGGCAGTGTGGCTTTCTTGCTGAGCAAAGAAATCTGGGTAGTTGATGCGCACTTCATGGAAATCATTCCGTTTGTTGTAATCATGACCTGGATGATCAAGACGTTTGGTGCTCGGGTCTCGGACTACCTGGATCAAGTCACGCAGGTCAGTGCCCTATCACAGTAGTGATTCCGTCACTCCTGTCATTATAGTTTCATTGACATTCAGTTGTGTCATGTAACTTCTAAAAGCCTTATTATTATGTCTCCTTGCTGCTAGCCTGATTTTATTCCATCGCCTCTGTCAGGTTTGGTGGATGCGTGTTACAGGAATTGTCGAAATGATCATGCCAGCCACCTCCTGATATCTCTATATTACAGTTGTTGCCAAGTTTGACTAGCTTCCTCTCGTCTGTAGGACCACTTAGCAGTCAGTCGGCTTTTCGTTTTCGACCCCACGTGCATTCATACTAAGCTGTGCTTTTTCACGTCCACACAAAATCGAAGGACGAAAGCTTCCAAAGCCTTTGTGAAGTGGATGCGAGGGTCCGAAGGTTTACGTCTTTTTTCTGTTGGTCCTGAGCTAGAAGCATTATACTACTGACAATTCTGCGCAATTTTATTTTATGGGACCCTGCACTGTTTCTGTACCTCCAGCTGCCTTCTTGTTTCAGTCTTGGTGTCTTGCCGCTTGGCAAATCGCGTCATCACAACTTTGGCATCGGGCTTTTGGCTCATACAGTCTTCTGGGTCAAGAGAGCTCCGCTTGACTGTTATTTCGTTTCAGGCCTTTTTGTCTTTCTTCTAGAAACGTATCGACCACTTCTACACCATCCCCATGAAGAAGGCCGTCGCTAATCTGGACAGCACCATAAAGTCCGCCGATGAGGAGATTGCACGAGCTGCCAGCGTCCCAACCCTATTCCTGGCCAAGAAGGAGAATCTAGATCTCCAACTGGAAGCTGCATACCGCGAGCGTCTGCAGCGCGTGCACAAGATGGTTACAAGACGCTTGGTACGACCCACATACCTGCTTACTTTGTACTTATACTTGATACGGCTGCTATCATATCCGATCTTGCCGGCCTCGACGGTGTCCCAAACTGCACCTTTCCACGCGTGACGATCCGCGGCAGCAGATCTAGACAGTTCAACCCATCCTTTTCGCCAGCGGTGGAGATCGAATGCCGAAGGTGCAAGAACCACTTTCACGTCTTGACAAACTATGTCGATCCAGATTTGAGTTAACCCCCTCTCCGACCCTCCAGTGTGGTAACGGTGCCGGATCGAGGTCAGTACCACCGAGCTCCTGAGGCGGACGACGAATAACGTGCCCAAGCCCCCTCAGCCGTTCGTTTTTGGGCGGCCTGGTTAATCCTTGCGATATTGTCGCAGCGAGTGCTGACTATCTCATTTGAGACGAAGTTGGTGTACTTCACTTGAAGGATGGTCCTCAAGCAATGATAGTCAAATATCACCAATTCCCGGTCGTCCTCCACGCACACAGCCCAGCATTCGCAATCACAAAGAAAGACAGACCGGACGGATACAAGGTACACGCGAATCTCAGTGGCGATGGAGGTGTAGTGGCTCTCAACCGGACCGTGAACTTCATTACTTCTAACGCAAGTGGTCTTTTTTGCCGTCGGAAACGAAGAAATGGAATGCCTTGTTATTTGACCGGCTAAGGCCTAAACTACAACATACCCTCGAAGCAATGGGAGCTCAGATGATTAGGCAGGCGTGAGAGCCAATAAGAAACAGCGAGAACGCAGTCGCGAAGCGATGCCACCCTCGGGTGAATTACACCTTCTCGAAGTTTACTATGTAGCCTGGTAGGCAGTTTTGTAAATGCCGTTTGGGTCAGAGTCATGGTATGCTGGAGTCGACCAACTGGCCCATAACTGTACGTTGACGGTGAGGGCAAGGTATGTCATTTTTTATGGATGCTGGTCCACAGTAAGCCGCCACAACAAGTGTTCGAAGTCTAGATGGACACTGAACAGGTAGGACAAGTGCAATAATATAATTTTGATGGATAGCAAAGCAGTGAAAGAGTGGTAGATGTTGCCAATAGTGATGGCGAAGTTAGTTGTCAGGTGAACGCGGGTCCTTAGGTGTCTGTATAAGGCCCTTGTGATGACCTCTAAATTTGAAGGAGACACGTTCGCTGGGACAAGAGCTTTATTAGCCTGGCGTTTCGGATTCCTGCTCGAATCCATCATCAGAGACAAAAGCAGATAAGGGTGGTTCATGCATAAGGGGCTGCAGTATTTATAGGATGCAGTAGCCATGCTACCGCATACCTATGAATATTCACGGCTCCCCGCTTCATCAGGAATCGTTGCACGGGGTGTGATGGCCGACGTTCGCGTCGTTAATTGCTGCACTTTCATCACGTGCGTTGGATGTTGGTGTGATGATCGCTCGACCATCTGACGCGCTGACCCTGGTGTTGGGAAGAGTGTTCACCTGTGCGCTCCCCGCGTGACCAATTACTCCACCTAGGCGAAGTCTCAGCACCGAGTATGGGATGGGAAGATCATTGCCTTTGTGCATTGACTGGGGGCCTCTAAACTGTTGCTTCCGTCGTCCCTGTCCGAGTATTTCATCATACAAACCTTTTTCTGATGATGCATCTTTTACCTCACCAATCTCACTAGGTTTTTTTCACTTCGCCTTATTAGGACTACCACGTAGATGTAAAAAGTGTGCGTAGACAGAGGTTTCGCAGCTGTTGCACCAAACACTCCATCCAGTGTTCCCCACACTGGAGCTGTGGACGCCATGAGCATGTGTGGCGGCTCGGTCAGCTATTCAGAAGTCGGTGATTCGAAATCGCTTAGAACCTGGGGTGGAAGTGTTGTTAACAGTGCTGGCGGGGTTAGTTGTGAGGTGGAAGCGGTGTCTAGCCGGGGCTATTGGGGTCCTTAGGTGTCAGTATAAGACCTTTGTGATGATCTCCAAACTGTTGCTTCTGTCGTCCCTGTCCGAGTATTTCATCAAGAAGCTTTTTCTGATGATGCATCTTTAACCTCACCAATCTCACTAGGTTTTTTTCACTTCGCCTTATTAGGACTATCACGTAGAACGGGAGAATGTGCGCAGGCGCTTCCAGCAACAGCACATGGCCAACTGGATCACCAACTCTGTTATTGCTGGTATCACACCGACGCAGGAGAAGGAGACTATACGCCAATGCATTGAGGACCTGAAGAACCTGGCCAAAACGCAAAATAGGGCGACCTCCCCGGCGTAATGCTTAGCGCACTGATTACAGCTGTTGTTAGTCACGCCATGCACTGTGCAGCCGCAACTTCTCACTCGTTCTCTCCACACTTAGCGGGTTTTATGCCTTTTCGCTCAGTTCATCTTGAATAGACCCTTACCTTGAATGCTTGGCTTTTTCACCCCCTCCCTGTCGCATATACCTGGCCATCGTCTTCGGGAGAGGCCGCTGCCCGTCAATCCTAAGTATTTGGATGGGAAGTACTCTGCTGATGCTGTTGTACTAACCTGAGCGATGTTCGTGGTAGGGGCTAGGTTTATCGAGCCTGGTGTACAGCCGTCATCAACTGGAGATTTTTGTGTTTCGAGAAATGTTTGTCAAATATATATGCCTGGCACCCAAATACCTAACGAGTTTGTCCAATTGGTTAGTCTCCCCTTCTGGTTCTTTGCGTATGGACCAGGGGGTGTAGTGGCACGCCTAGGCGTTGGGTCTACCGCGCCAGCCACCTACCACCGGATTCCAGTTTCGGTCCCCTTGACTTTTTCTTGACACCAGACCCAGGTGGGTGAGGCATGCGTCGGATGCAACGCAAGCCCGCTATCTACGAGCAAGTCACCGTCCCCGCGCCTACCACGCTGTAGGGACACACGGTGGACATTGTCGCCCAGGTCGGCCAAACCGTTGGTTGGTCTTCCCTAACCACTCCGGTCGCTATGTCAGACTGTTTTGCCTAGTTGTTGACAGCCGGCAAATGCAAACTTTGTGCTTAGTGCCGTGACCGATTCGGTAGTTTATATTTTCGTAAGGGTAATTTTAAATTACCTGATCTGAGCTTGCCTTTTCCCAAGCCAGATATGCAGAAAAAACTTCCGCGAGGTCAGTGTTGTCTATTTCCTTTACGAGCGCTTCCGCACGTAATGCGCCCGTCTCCAGGCGGACGGTCGAGAAGTGGCAAACATGAATGTCTACTCATTCACTGCCAGCAGTACAGGCGCGCGTGATCTCGGCGATGGTGGGTTCGAATCCCACCGAGGCACCAAGTTTTTCACAGTTGGGTCAGTATGAATAGTTCGCTTTCGTTAGGGGGAGGACAAACGAGCGCCTTTGAACTTCCAGTTGGTTACAGATTGTCTAAAAAGCACCGATAGGTGAACATCTGGAAGAGAGGTTGTTTGCATGTTTGCCTGCAAAAAGCGGACAGTCGAGAAGTGACAAACATGAACGTCTACTCATTCATTGCAAGTAGTACGGGCGCGCATGATCTCGGCGATGGTGGGTCGCAACGTCCCCCGAATGAAGGGTTAAGGAGATAAATTCTGTCGCGAGGTCTTGCAATCGTTGTGAGTGGCCGCTCGCGCTGCGGTCGCCAGGCTATGCGGGTGTGTGCCCGTCGGGCCGCGCGCCACGCTGAGCCTCGCTGGTTGGAATTGCACCAGGCGTCAAAGACACGCCATCCGACGCACCTGGTGACGCTGATGAAGGTATTAGGCAGGCAAGTCACCGGACACACTCGTCGATGCACAGGTGACAACGCGTGTGGTTACTGAGCAGTTGTCACGTTCCCACACCCTGCCAATGGCCGGGAGCACTGCTTCGACAACAGTCACGCGGAGGGATGTGAAATGCCAACTTGTCGCATTGTCGATCGAAATTTTCCATCGTAAACGGTGAGACCCACCACAGCAGATGAACACAGGGGCGTCTAACGCATGCATTTGCCTCTAATGAAACAGGCTTGTGTAATGCATTCGCCTCCGTTCTCATACCAACGTTCCCATGACTAGACAAAGTCAAGTGGGCCAGGGGGTTTCCATGGGCGCGGTGACGAAAAAAGCTATATGCGTGTCACCTGCCAGGCCTCAGAGACGGGGGACTCGGATCTCAGGTAAGTATGGGGCGTCATTAAGGCGCCATTGCAGCCTGACTTTCTGTCTCACGTAAAACCCTCCCAAGCCACGACTTTTCGTGCGTCAGGGCACGTTTGTAGTGGAGAATCTAGGTAGCTGCATAACTTCGACTGTGTTCCCACGCGTCAGTGACTGCCAAATGTGGACGAGAGTAAGTGCAGTGACTGCCGTGCCCTGTGACCCTCTGCCTTGATGTGTCACACGTGTTAGTCTACGTGGTCATCCTCCTCCACGCCCCAAAAAAATAGGAGTGACGTGTGAACATGCCAACCAATAGCGTTCCACCCGTCACAGTGGTGCCGGCAGATTTCGCTGCGCACCGAGTGATCGAAATGTTATGTTGCTTAGAATGGCATTACCGACAAGGAAATGGGAGACTGGAATGGCCATTTCTGGTTTATTAGCCGTCATCAGCCAGTCACACCCAACCCCGAGGTGTGGAACATCCTAGGCTCGAACTCGCGACCTGTTAGTTAGAAGTCCACGCCTCTAACCACTGGACCACGAGCCCGTTGTCCTGTCGGTTTCGATCGAGAATATACAATGGTAGGGGGCGTTCACTGATCGTTCTTACGGAACTCACTAGTTCCGTTGTGCCTTTTTGCTTCTCTCTCGAGCCCAACCAGCATCCGCACAGCGGGGCATGATATAGGCAGAATGGCACTACCGAACGATCTGTGAGTGCCCCCTACCATTGCATATTCCCGATCGAAACCGACAAGGCAACGGGCCCGTGGCCCAGTGGCTAGAGGCGTGGACTTCTAACTAACAGGTCGCGAGTTCGAGCCTCGGGTGTTCCACACTTCGGGTTTGGGTATGACTGGCTGACATCGGCTAATAAGCCAGTCATGACCATTCCAGTCTTCCTTGTCTTTGTTGGTAATGCCATTCTGCCTATATCATGCGCCGCTGTGCGGCTTCTGGTTGGGCCCGAGAGAGAGCCCATAAGGCACAACAGAACGAGTGAGTTCCGTAGGAACGATCGATGAGCGTCCCTTACCATTCTTATGTTGCTTGCTGGCGTGTATATGAGCGTCCGGATAGTCTCAGGCATTGTATAGGCCTAATTTTGGGTGCGGACAAGGGAGGTGTGGAGTATACTGCTTTTTTAATCATAACGTATGCGCGCATGCCCGAACAGGCCCATACGGAGTGTTCGCCTGATGGACTCCTTTTTAATACGCTCTAGATAGGCTGCCATGCATGTGAGATACGCACAGGCCATCCTTTCGTGTGAAAACCTGGTGATTTCTGTGACGGAACAGGTCGAGCAAGTGAAGGCGGACTGTGTAGCTCTGCCAGCCACTACTCCCATTCCCCATTTCAGATGACTGACCAGTTTGGACAGTAGACTGGTGGTTGGGAGAGGCAAGTGAGAGAAAGGTTGCCTCAGTGGACTGCGTCCTCACGGCACTCAGGGTATGGTCCTCACTGTAAACAATCTGACGTGCCAAAAGAAGAGGAGGCGTTCACCAGGAGAGGTGTATTTGAGGTCTGACGTTTCGGGTAGTCGTTTCTTCTACCCATCTTCAGAGACTGAGATGTCGTGCACACAGCTTTCCTTTTTATGGCGCACTTTGTCCAATGCCTGGCCCATCAATGCCGCCTGTGTGGCTGCATCCGAACCGCATGTCACCGTGACCTGAATCCCGCTCATCTTCGTCGGCCGCGGTGATAATTGGCGGCCCCGATTGTCCTGCGCCGTGACTGTCCCCCGTCAAGAGTGTCCGTAAAACCAGATAAGGGGGAGGTAAGTTGATGTGGCGGTTGACAGAACAGTCTGTGGACATCCAGGCTTCTTGCACCTGCCTTGCCGTATGATCATCACCTCGGCCCACAATTTCAACGGCGTCAAAGTTGAAGACGTGTCCCAATTGGGGTGGCATGGGTTGCTACCTCCGACTTTGGGTCTAACCTTCGCACGGCCAACTTATGCTCGTGCATGCGCGTTTGCAGCCGTCGGCCGGTTTCCCCAACGTAGTTACACATTCCGCAGCTGCACCGAAGTCGGTAGACAACAGCCGACATCTCCTGCCTAGGGATCGGGTCTTTTGGCCGCATCACTTGCCGGCGGATTGTTGAGTCGGGCCTGTGGGCAACGCCTATTCCGAGCGGCGCGAGGGATCTGGCTACGGCTTCGGAGACCCCTTTCATGTATGGAGTGCTCCGCCACGATTTTGGCTGAGTAGGTTCTTCATTCCGCAGCCTTGGTCACGGTGACATGCGGGTCGGATGCAGCCACACAGGCGGCATTGATGGGCCAGGCATTAGACAAAGTGCGCCATAAAAAGGAAAGCTGTGTGCACGACTGCTCAGTCTCTAAAGATGGGTAGAAGAAACGACTACCCGAAACGTCAGACTTCAAATACACCTCTCCCGATGAACGCCTCCTCTTCTTTTGATATGCCACCCGGGAATCGCATTTTCACCACTAATCTGACGTGCTTTTAAACTATCACGGTGTGCTAGAAGCCATGGCTTTGAAGGCTGCCAGCTAATGGCTCAATCCGATCTCCCTTTAGAACGGCGAGTCAGGTCGCAATGACCCTGTGCCCGGGCGCCAGACTATCTTTCCTTTACTTACTTGTTCATAATTCTTGAACTTACCGGTTGTTTAATTGAATGGAAGGAACACAACGCGACACGCTCCGTATCTGTTGGATTATCAGCTCCTTTGACATTTTATTGTGAATTCTTCCATAACTCCTGTCTTATCCTCATATCCATAGTCTGGGATTGGCAGTTGTGTCCTTGGCGCTCTCGACAACCCCTTTTTTGTATGGTCTCCACGGCACCCCCATCCGGCTGGGATCTGGACCGCTCCTTTTCTGTTTGTGTGTGAATACTTGGTTCCGCTGGCGCGGACCAGGTGTGTATGGCACGCCTGGGCGGGTCGTTTTACTCCGCCAACCAGTGTATCCGAACCAACCTTCGGTCGTCTCGATATCGTGTTGCCATGGTGGGCTCTTTGGTGAGGAAGGAGGGCGTGCGGTAGATGCAGCCATAGTCGACTATTCCCATAAACTAGCTCACGGGCAGCTCACTGTTCTTACGCCCATCCTCATGTAGGACATACAGTGGACATCGCCGATAACGACAGTCGAACTCTCCTCTGAAGTG